TCTCTCTCTCTCTCTCTCTCTCTCTCTCTCTCTCTCTCTCTCTCCTCTCCCTCCCTCTCTTCTCTTTCTTCCTCTCTCTTTCTTCCCTTTCTCCCTTTGCTGTGGGGTCACACCAGGTGGTGCTCAGGGGTTCTGCACTCGGGAATTACTCCTGGCAGACTTGGGGGACCAAATGGGGAGCCAGGGATCAAACTTGGGTTGGCTGCACGCAAGGCAAATGCCCTACTCGCAGTGTTGTCTCTCCGGTCCCACAAAGCTGGTTTCCTGAGTCTCTTCCCCACTCATCAGTATCTTCTCCCTCTTCTTCACCACGTCCCTTCCTCGTGCCCCAACTCCCTGACCTGAGCTACTCTCTAGCCACGGACTCCCTGACCCGAGCTAGTCTCTAGGCAGGTCTATAGTCTCTTTTCCCTCTGCCCATCTCTCCCTCCCTGGCAGTTCCTTTCAGCTGTCTGGAGAGTTTGGGGAGAGGGATGGGGAACCCTGGCACTGGCATAGGGCAGGACTTGGATAGGGATCTAGGCGGTAGGGAGGAAGTGAGGCGAAATGGTAAGCGGTTAATGGCTGAGAAACGTTTCATGCAGCCAAGAGTAGAGACAGGGGTAGAGAATGGCTCACGAAAGTGCACCCTGTTTATTAGTATGACATTCAATACCTTCTCAGTCGGCCTCCAGTGCACTGTTCTACAGGGCCGGTTTCCCTAGGAAGCCTGGAGACATGGTTCTGTTAGGGCCTCAGAAAGAATAATACGGGGCTGGAGTGATAGCACAGCAGGTAGGGCATTTGCCTTGCACACGGCTGACCCGGGTTCGATTCCCAGCATCCCATATGGTCCCCTGAGCACCGCTAGGGGTAATTCCCGAGTGCTGGGCCAGGAGTAATCCCTGTGCATTGCCAGGTGTGACCCAAAAAGAAAAAATAAATAAATAAATAAATAAAATAAAGGTTTTTTTTTAAAAAGAATAATACTACCAGCCTGGATTTACATTCACCTTTTTACCCATGGGGTTAGAAACATACTTCTTTGTGTGTGTGTGTGTGTGTGTGTGTGTGTGTGTGTAAGAGAGTGTGTATATATGTGAGTGTGTCTGTATGTGTGAGAGTGGGTGTGCATGTGGTGCGTATGTGAATATATAGTGTGTTGTATGTATGAAAATGTGTGTATGTGTGAAGTAGTGTGTGGTGTGAGTGTGTGATGCTGCGAGGGTTCCTGCAACCGTGTATAGGCCCAGGAAAGTCAGAACTTCTAGTTTCCACAACCCCAGGGTCCTCTTGGTTTTCCAGACCACTGGCACCATTTTCCCCCTGTGAAGTTTCTTTTTTTTTTTCCCTTCCCCTTTCTGGGGGTTTGTGGTGGTGGTTGTGATACCCAGAGCATGAACTTCATTGCCATGCACCAGTGCTCACTTTTTTTAAAAAAATGGCGCTGGAAATAGTGAACCCCTGGGTATGTGGGATGATGCAAGGGATCCAACTCGAGGCCTCACATTTCAGGGCAGGCCCTTTACCACTGAGCTGACCAGAACTTGCCTCCTGCTAGATGACTGCTGTGTGATCGCTTTGCTTATGGAGTGATTCCCATGGGAGGATTCATCCTCTGTGTCTAAGCTCAAAGGACATGTCTTTGCGAGGCCTTCCCTGGGTCCCCTCCATGGGGATGAGATTGTGCCTCCCGCCTTGGTGTTTCCAGATAGCCCCAGCTTCCTCCTGACCTGCTCACACTTCTATCTTCCCAGCATGGCTGTAAGTCCTGTAAGGGAATGACCTCATTCTTTTTTTTTCTTTTTTAAAAAATTTTTATTAAATTTTTTTCAAACATTTTATTAGTGAAACACCATGAGGTACAGTTGTAGACTTACAAATTTTTGTGCTTGGGTCTCAGTTATACAATGATCGAGTACCCATCCCTCCACCAGTGCCCATTTCCCACCACCACGGATCCCAGTATCCCTCCCACCCCCCACCCCCCCATCCCACCCTGCCTCTGTGGCAGGGCATTCCCTTTTGTTCTCTCTCTCCTTTTGGGTGCTTGGTTTGCAAAAGAGGAATTGAGTGGCAATCATGTTTGGTCTAGAGTCTATTTTCAGCATGCATCTCCCATCCTGGGAGGATCCTCCCAACACCCTTTATTTGGTGCTCCCTTCTCTGTCTGAGCTGCCCTTTCCCCTAGCACGTGCAGCTGGCCTCCAAGCCATGGAGTAAACCTCCTGGTACTTATCTCGGCTATTCTTGGGTGCTAATCTCCTATTTTGTTACTTTATGTTCCCCAGATGAATGCAATCTTTCTATGTCTGTCTCTCTCTTTCTGACTACGACCTCATTCTTGATGTCGTCGGGAGAGGCTGGACACACACACTGTGGAGGCCAGGTGGGAGACAGGATCTCTGGGGATGACAGACAACGAAGTGGCAGGACTCAGATGTGTGTGGTTCTCTCCATCCAACCGATTCTCCACAGGGGCCATCAGCCAAGGGGCAGAGCAAGGGAGGAGGGACCAACACACATCAGCTTCGCCAAAGTCGCAAAAGCCCTTATTTCCACTGGGTTCTTAGGTCCCACTCTGGCAGAGCCCTTCACCCCCCTACCCCAGGTCCCATCTTGGCCCTATTTGCTCCGTTTGGCTGGGCCAAGACACTGTCACGGTCCCTCTTGGGGATCAGGAGGCAGCTGTGGTGCTATGGCGCCCCCACGTGGTGATGCCCAAGATGATAACCTGCTCCTGAATGTATGAAGTCTGTGTGAAAGGATTTGAGTTGTCAGGGCCCTGGGCTTCTAACTCAGGCCAGCTGACCTGTGTGGCCCGGCCCAGCTTGCTGGAGGGCAGCTGACCTGAGTGTTGGTTCTGCACCATGTGTGGGTTCTTACGAGCTTAGCCAAGGCCAAGTCGCGCACTCTGCCATTCTCCTGGCCTCCACAGAGAACCCCACCTGGGAGCTGCCAGTCCAAACTGCATCATTCATTTGGCCTCAGTTTCCCCTCATGTGTAAATGGTAAGAGTTAGCCAAAAACATTTAAAAATTGTGTTTAGAGACCTGGGGAAGTACCGGGTGCAGAGGGGTGTTCTCCTCCTCCGTGGCTACTTTGCTTAGGAGACATGTGTCACGGACAGGCTCCGGAATAGACCCAAGAATCACTGGCTCCATGTGCTTCTTTTATTGTTTATTTCGAAAAAATATGATGGGTGATGGAGTGATTGTACAATGGGTAGGGCCTTTGCCTTGCACGTGGCCCATCCGGTTCAATCCCTTCCAGCACCACCAGGAGTGATCCCTGAGTGCAGAGCAAGGAGTAAGCACTCTAGGGTATGGCTCAGAATTGAAACAAAAAAATAATCTTGTTTGGAGGGGATGGGGGTTTGGGACACACCCCACGGTGCTCTGGCTGGGTGCTCAGCAGTGACCCCTGGCAGTGTTCACATGTGGCACTGGGGTTTGAACCTTGGTCACAGTCACTGCAGCTGCATATAAGGCAGGTATGTTCCTGTGCTATCTTCCGGCCTGCCCATGAGTTTCCTCTCTAATGTTCTAGGACCCCCAATGTGGTCTCCTTTATAGCTCCCTGCCTCCAGGGTTCTAGGCTTACTGGAGATCAGCCAGCCAGAAAGGATCAGGGTGGAGGGTAGAAAGGCCAGGGGACTGGTGGCCGCTCTCCAGCGTAGCAGAAAGTGCCAGAATCTGCTTCACCAGCCTGTCTCAGTCCACCATCTGCAGGACAACAGACGAGCGCCTTGACCCCTCTCTGTCTCTCCCTCCTCTTTGTTTTTTGGGTGGTGCTGGGCTGGAGCGATAGCACAGTGGTAGGGCATTTGCCTTGCATGCGGCAGACCCAGGTTCGATTTCTCTGCCCCACTCGGAGAGCCTGGCAAGCTACGGACAGTATCTCGCCAGCACGGCAAAGCCTGGCAAGCTCCCCATGACGTATTCGATATGCCAAAAACAGTAACAAGTGTCACAATGGAGACGTTACTGGGCCCGCTCGAGCAAATCGATGAACAACGAGAGGACAGTGCTACAGCGCTACCCAGTGGTGCTAAAGGATTACACCTGGCTTGGTGCTTGGGGTCCCGTGAGGGGCTGAGGCCTGAAGCCGGAGCTAGCCTATGCAAAGCCCATGCTCTAGCCTGTATACCATCTCCTATCCCTACCTCAGCTTTCTTATCTGTAAAAAGGGATTCTGTCATTGTGCAGAAGCGGTAAAAATGAAGGGTTCCTCTTAGAGTGCTTCTGTAAATGGAAAAAATCTAGAAAGTTCAGGCAACACCCACCAGCATTCTCAGGCTCCCAATCCTCCTTTTAGAACATGTCACTGGAGCAATAGCACAGCGGGTAGGGCATTTGCCTTGCACGTGGCCAGCCCAGGTTCGATTCCCAGCATCCCCGATGGTCCCCCGAGCACCGCCAGGAGTAATTCCTGAGTGCAGAGCCAGGAGTAACCCTTGAGCATCACTGGGTGTGACCCAAAAAGCAAAAAAATAAAAAATAAAAAAAAATAAAAGAACATGTTACTCCACTAGGTTCTGTGGGTGCCACAGAGCAGCGGTTCTCAACTGGGGGCCATGTGGAACCCCCCAGGATATTGCTCCAAGGACTACAGGTGAAAATTGTGTTCATGGAGGACCAGGGCACAAGGCCGGCTGCAATCAGTAGGACAAGGGGCCACAGGAAGGAACCAAGGCGGGAAGGGGCTATGGGCAGGAAAGGGTCGAGCTATGCTGGAAGGGAATTCAGGTCAGGCTGCGGGAGGGTGGGGTTGGGGGGGTGTTTCCCTGAGTCCATTATGGTAGTCCTAGGCCTTGCCGCAGTGGCCAGTGTGCTGAGGAGGTTTCCTCTTTTCCGATGGAAGGGAAGCTCCGGGCCAGGCAGCTCGTGTCCGAGTGGTCCCTCTGTCCATCCATGTGGGCGTCAGAAAGCAGTTCCAGTGCTGCTCAGGGAGCAGGGAGGTCCTGTCTGAGCAACCATGACATGGGGCGGGGGAGGGGTGGTCCATCTCTTAGACTGCCAGGAAAGCTAGCAGGCCAGGACTAGTTGAAGACCCAGTGCTGGTGGGGGTCACTGGGATCGCAGGGGGCCATGGCTGGAGTTTGGTTCTTAGATGTCAGGCAGGTACCGGATCCGGAGTTCCTGAAGAGTTGGTCCTAAAAGATGATACCATGAAGGGTCAGCCTGGGCCTCAAGTTCCACAGTGCTACTAGAGGGGGTTCACAAGGCAAAGGCCACAAGGGGCAGAGAGTTCTTTCTCTAGATGTCAGATACATCCAGAGATGTGTGTGTGGGGGGCACACCCCGTGATGCTCAGGGCTTACTCCTGTCTCTGCTCTCCGGTCACTCCTGGTAAGGCTCAAGGAACCATAAATGGTGCTGGGGATCAGACTAGGGTTGGCCATGTGCAAGGCAAGTGCCCTACCCACTGCCAACATCAGAGCCTCCGAGGGATGTGTTCCTGAGTCTGTGTCTGTGTTGGGGCTGGGACCCCAACTTCACCCCTGAGTGGTTGGTGCAGAGGAAGGCAGGCCAAGGTCGGACTGCAGTGGCCCCTCCTCTAGCGGGCGGGTCTCAGAGCAGACCCCCACGAACCCCCACTGTCTGCAAGGCAGGGCAGGGCTGCTCCCTGGAGGTCTGGCTCGGGACCTGATTGTGCTGACATCCCAGATCAGCACGAGCTCAGAGAAGCCATCCCAGGCCTGTCAATGACTGGTGACAGGTTGGGAGCCAGTGTCCATCCTGCTGAGTATCACGAGACCGTCTCTAGACACAAGGACACCGTCTGCTTGAACCTGACTCCACACATGTCAGTGCAAAGCTGGTCCTGGCACGCACACGGCAGCTGGTACAGAGATGACAAGTTCACCTTGGGGTGAATTGCAAATGGGGAGCCACCGGCCACCCCCAGCCACCTCCCAACCAGTCACCACACAGTGCTTCTCTGAGGCCACCCTTCCCTCTCTTCCCTCTCTGACCGGAGACAGGAACACGGCGCGGAGCAGTGGCCGCAGCTCACCTGGGTCAGTTCCCATTCCTCGGCCTTGGGCACGTGGCTGTTCCTGCCAGTGAAGTGACAGTTGTGAAGGCGCAGGGTGCCCCTGCTGACGTGTAGACACAGCTGTTTCGCGATGTTGTGGCGGATTTCCCTCTTGGTCGTGTACTCAAAGTACTAGAAGTCGGGACAAGAGGAGGTGTCGGGGAGTGGCCGAGTGTGTGCCCGCGCTCTGCCAAAGCCACTGCCCTCAGATGCCAACAGCCAGTGACACGCTCTGAGGTGGGGAGTGGGGCGGGGGGAGGCCACACCAGCGGCAGCATTCAGGGTCCCCCTGTGGACTGTACAGCCTCCGTTTATACGGGAATCACAGTGAATGCTTGGTCCGTTTTTTTAGGAGGGCCTCACCGGGTCATGCTGAGGGCGCATTCCTGGCTCTGCACTCAAGAATCTCTCCTTGGGCTGGAGTGATAGCACAGTGGGTAGGGCGTTTGCCTTGCTCACGGCCAACCCGGGTTCGATTCCCAGCATCCCATATGGTCCCCTGAGCACTGCCAGGAGTAACTCCTGAGTGCAGAGCCAATTGTAACCCCTGTGCATCGCCAGGTGTGACCCAAAAAGAAAAAAAAAAGAATCACTTCTGGCTGTGCTCAGGGCACCATGTGGGGTGCCAGCGAATCGAGTCTATGTTGGTTGTACACAAGGCAAGTTACTCACACACTGAACTACCTTTCCAACCCCCCTGGCTTTAAATTAAGTAGGGGCTGGGTACCAGGAGCGATTCCTGAGCACAGGACCAAGACTTTGTCATGGGCACTGCCGGGTGTGGCTTCCCCTAGGCATTCATTAGTGGCTGGGGAGATAGCTCAGTGGTCAGGGTTGTATCTTTGCATGTGCCAGCCCCTGGTCTGTGCCCCAGGATCACACTGGGTGTGGCCCACCCACACAGGGTCCTGGAGCAGCTCTGCGTCACTGCCCCCTCTGGCCTGGTGCTGCTGGAGGTGGGAGTGGCATTGCTTGGCATACTCCTCAAATCAAACTTTAGGCTCATTTGGGGGGCCTCCCCAGGGTGCTTAGGGGTCCTTGGGGGCCACCAGGATGCTGAGGGGGCTGTGCTGGAGATTGAACCAGCTCTGCGCATGGTCTCCCTGGCCTCTGATTTCACCTCATTTGAAGCATAATCTGTGTAATCGGGTGACTCTTGTTTATTTTTTAATTGGCTAACTGATAATGATTGTCCACTGTACTCCCGTCATTCATCGATTTGCTCGAGCAGGCCCAGTAACGTCTCCATTGTGAGACTTCTTGTTACTGTGTTTGGCATGTTGAATACTCTCGGTAGCTTGCCAGGCTCTTCGAGAGGGGCGGAAGAATCGAACCCGGCTCGACAGGGCTGGCTGTGTGCAAGGCAAACGCCCTACCGCTGATAACGATAATGATTAAGATTTTTAAAAAAAATCAGGGCCAGAGTGATAGTACAGCCAGTAGGGCAAGTGCCTTGCACATGGTCAACCCATGTTGAATCCTTGGCACCCCAAATGATTCCCCCAAGTCCACCAGGAGTGACCTTGAGCACAGAGCTAGGAGTAAGCCTGAACACTGCTGGGTGTGCCCACCCCCAAACACAAGTTCACTAATGTAGCCTGTAGCCCCTAGGATCATCTGGTTGGCTAGTAGGCATTTACATCCCAGTCCCAGGGTGTTCAGGGAACCATACTCCGGGGGGGGGGGGGGGCGAGGGGAGGGTAGCAGATTAGCCGCATGCCAGGCAATTCCTTTTGCATCTCTTCCTGACCCAGGATAGTTAGGGTAGGCTCAGACACCCAGACAGGCAGCTGTGAGAGATTCCTCAGGGAAATGCCAGGATGTCAACAGGTGGTTGTTTGGGGGCCACTGTAGAGTACTCGGGTCACAAGGCACCAAAGACAGAGGTCACATGTAGTGATGGGGATGGGGGGAGGGAAGGATTAAACACCATGTGCAGGGGGCTGGAGCGATAGCACAGCAGGTAGGGCATTTGCCTTGCACGCGGCGGAACTGGGTTCGATTCCCAGCATCCCATATGGTCTCCTGAGCACTGCCAGGAGTAATTCCTGAGTGCAGAGCCAGGAGTAACCCCTGTGCATCGCCGGGTGTGACCCAAAAAGCAAAAAATAAATAAATAAAATAAAAGCGTTACATATGGGGACTGGAGCGATAGCACAGCGGGTAGGGCGTCTGCCTTGCACGCGGCCGACCCGGGTTCGGATCCCAGCATCCCATATGGTCCCCCAAGCACCGCCAGGAGTGATTCTTGAGTGCAAAGCCAGGAGGAACCCTTGAGCATCGCCAAAAAGCCAAAAAAGAAAAAGTGCCCATTCACCATCAAAGATCCTCATTCCAGACCCTCCCAAACTCAGTACCCCCTGAAGATACCTCGTTCAGAGCCAGATCTTGGCTGTCTGTGTCCTACACCCTCCTCAGCATGGAGTGCAGTGAGAGTGGGCCCCTCTCACTGCCTGTGGACTTACCCCCTGGACCTCAGGAAAGACCGCTGAGAGGAGAGAGGCCACGGAGGGAGGAGCTGTGGGCTTGAGGCAGGAGGGTGGGTACCTGGTTGCCGCCAAGGCCGTGGCAGGGGTACATGATGAGGGGCTTCTCTCCCTTGTTGTTCTCCCCCACATCGAGGCACTGGTTGATCTGCAGGTTCCTGATCTGCAGCACAGTAAGCCAAGAAACAACCAGGACAAGTCAGTAAGGAAACCAGCGGGGCCCAGAAGGACCCACTGCGAACCAGGGCCCCTCTCTGAATTTTCTCCTCTGCTCACTCACCCAGATGTCTGTGCTCACTGCAAAATGGCAGGCAGAGCCCAGCAGCTGGCTAGGGCAGGAAGGGCACCCTGTGACTGCCAGGCTCTCAGAAGATCCCCGAATAGCTTCAATCGCCAAAGTCCATCTCTCAGGACTCCCTGAACCCAGGGCTGTCCCCCTCTCCTAGTGAACCCCAGAAAGGTGCTCTGATGTTTCTTCCTTTCAAGCCCCCACAGGGCTTCTCCACCCTCTGGGATAAAGGATGCAAAAGCAGCCCCTGCCATGCCCGGGGAAATGGGGGACACGATGGCCCTGGAGACTCACTGATCCGAAGAAGGTGGGTGTCAGGTCAGGAACAAAGATCTCAGGGTAGATGTTGTTCAGATACCAGGAAAAGTTCTGGCAGTGGAGTTTTTCCCTCAGCTGCAGGCGCTCCGAGATGTCACCGAAGGATTTCTGTCAACCGAGCCAGACCCCAAGGGTCAGTGCCACCTGCCATAGCCTCCCTGTCTGGGGGGAGGGTCCCTGGATGTGGGCTCGGGGCGGGGGGCCCATGTCTTCCCAGGGCAAGCCTCCTGCTCACCGATGCTTAGGGCGGGGGGCGGGGGCTTTGCCGCCCCATCGAGCCCAGACTCCACCTTAGCGTCAGGACCCTCCCACCAACTCCTCATGGACTTCCTGTCAGTTTTCGGCCCAATTCTGAGCCAGTTTCCCCAAAGTTCAGGGAGCGACAGGGCTGCCCTTGCCATTCCCTCTGACTCTCTCAAGTTCACCAGGGCTGAAGGGAGACGCTGGAGAGTGGACAAGGTGGGGAGCCTCGACCTCCCTGTCCTTGCCCCGAGGCTGCGAATCTCTGCACCCCAACATCTCCCGAGCACTTTTCCTCTCACCTCTCTGGCTATCTTTTCTGCCTGCTGGTTTCTCCGGTAGAAAATCTCCTTGTAGCCGTCCATCCACACCTCAGCCAGGCGCACCTGGTTCCGCGCGATGACACTGATACCCTTGGGGAAGGTGTGAGGGCTCTTGGTCCGGAACACGTGTCCAACCACAGAGCAAGGGATGATTTCCAGCTGACCCCCACACTGCCAGACCTGCCGCAGAGGAGAGGGCAGGGGCCTTTAGAGCCTGTGGGGGGCACCTCTACCCCAGGGCTCTGTTCTGTTCTCAGGATGCCAGAGCCCAGGTCCAAGGACTCAGGGAAACCCACTGGTCTGGACAGAAGCACATTGAACAGTCCTCCTAGACCATGACTAAGCATCCCCAGCCTGACCAAGCATCTGATGTGGCTTCATGCTGCTCCAGCAGACAGAAATGTGCGCGCTCCCGCGAGCGACCAGGGTCCACTACGGAAAAGACGGCAGCCTGACTTTGTGTCTGGGATGGACTCCAGTCCTGGAGGTTTCCTGACCTGGAAATGGGGTTTCTATAACCCTGGAAACTCAAGTTTCCCCAAGTCATGACAGTCTTGCGACCCACGCAGAACCTCAGCCACCGGTCACTAGCAAGAATGGTCAACTGCCAGGGGCCTCTGATTCTGGACCTCTACACATTTCCTCAAGGAGCTGGGGCAGAGGAAGAGCAGAGAGGCCGACCCCTGGTGGATAAGCCAATGGCTATGCTGCTGGGCGGGTTTAAGGCATTTCTTTGCGTCCTTTCTCTTTAGGGTTTTGGGTTCGGGACATGTGCTGTTGCTCAGAGAGACATGGTCCTCACAGCCCTTGGCCTGCCAAGGAGCAGGCATCCTGAGTGTTTCCTACGCCCCCCAGCACGGGGAGTCCTCTGGGCTTCTCACAGACTCAGTTCTTTCTTCCAACCTGATCCTATTTTACCTAATTTCTGGGGTCCATCGGAGTTGGGACCACCGACTTCTGCAGCTGTGAGAGGCTGGCTGAGCACAGGCTTAGGAAACTCCAAAGACTTTGTCTCTGAGCCGGAAAGGGGTAATGGATCTTTCCAGAAAAAAATGATGATTGCTCCTGTCTTTTTCCTCTTCTTTCCGGTCCTTTCCCTACATATCTCATGAAAGGCAGCCCTAGACCCTGTGCTGCCGGTAACCCCTTCCCTCTGAGTTCTTCCCAGAGGCCTGGTTTTGGTTTTGGTTGGTTTTGTTTGGGGGCTATACCCAGTCATGCTCGGGAATTATTCTTAGCACTGTGCTTGGAGTCTCCCCTGGCAGCGTTTGGGGAACTAGATGTGGTGCCAGAATTTGCACCAGAGTTGACAGGATGCAAGGTCAGTTATGGCTAATTCCTGGACTGTCTCTCCAGCCCCCAGAAACCTGTCCCAGTTTCCCCGAACTGTCCCCCCAGATCCCACTGCCAGGCACACGCAGCCATGGCAGGAACAGTCACCCTTCAAGTTTCTGTTGCAGAAGAGATAGCCCTGAGCAAGTTGCTGCCTCAGACAGGCCAGGGCAGCCCCTGGGGAAGCTGTGGGTCCCCCAAGAAGCCCTCTTCACTCTCACCCGGAAGGACATTTCCACGTTCTCCCCTCCCCAGATCTCCATCTGATTATCATAGGTACCGATGTGTTCAAAGTAGGACTTGGAGATGGAGAAGAGGCCACCAGCAAACGTCGGGGATCTGGAGAGACAGAGGGAGAAGCATGTGCATCTTCTGGGGGGGGCGGGGGTGGCAGCCAGCCAACATGGGAGCTGCAGGCTGAGCCGGCCACCACCATCCTGCTGCCTCTTTTCTGCTCAGGGCAGACTGTCATGCACTCAGCCAATGTTGACGGTTTACGGTGTCCTCGTCCCCTTGAGGGACCAGCTCAGGGAGAGCTGTAGCCATCCTCACTGTGCCCATGTGCCTGGGTCCTGGCTGTTGCTGCTACAGCTGCTGATTGGGGGCTCTGCTGTCCTGCAAACCACAAGCTGAGGGACAGCTGGCAGTGTCACTCTCTCTTTCTCTGCCTTCTCTTCTCCCCCACCTTCTGTTGCTTCTCCTCCTCCTTCAGCGGTCGACAGAGCAGCTGTTCAGCGCCATGAGACAGACCCTCGTGTTAGGCACCCAAGTCTTCCTGCCCAGTATGAGAGCTGAGTCTCCCTTTCCCTTTGGTTCTTGGGTTACACCCAGAGCTCGGGGCTTATTCCTGGCTCTGCACTCAGAGATCTCTCCTGGCGGGGAGGGACCATATGGGGTGCCAGAACCCAGGTTGGCTGTGTGCAAGGCAAGTGTCCTACCCATTGTGCTATTGCTCTAGTTCCTGTGAGTGTATTTCTTTTTCTTTTTTCTTTATTGGGGGGGCATGGGAGGGCACACCCATGGGTATTCAGGGCTAACTCCTGGCTCTGTGCTCAGGTATCACTCCTGGAGGGGCTCAGAGAACCATATGGGGTGCCAGGGATTGAAATGGATTGGCCATGTGCAAGGCAAATGTCCTACATCTGTACTATCACTTGGACCCCTGTGGGTACATTTCTTAGCAGAGAGAGAGAGAGAGAGAGAGAGAGAGAGATTAATCCTTTTCTCCTCTCAAGTCTCCCATCTTATCTCTGCTCACTGTACCCCAACCTCTGGTTCCCTTTATCCCTAATATATAATCATACATTTCCTGGCCAGTTTAAATTTGCCACAATCCAATATGATAGTCTGAGACAGACTGCTGTTAAAAAAAAAAAAACTCACGAGGCTGTGGAGATTGCTCAATGGGATGAGCACATGGTCTGCATGAGGAAGCCTGGCTTTCATCCTGTCTCTTCATGGTTACCCAGCACTGCCAAGAGCAACGCCCCCCACCCCATCGCCCACCTTAGCACAGAGTCTCAAATCCTTTGAGCATTGCTGGGCATGGGCTCCCTTCCCCAAACAGATAAAATGCGTTTGTAATCACAAATTTCCCCTCCCTCCCTCCTTCTCTCCCTCCCAACCTCTTTCTTTCTTTCTTTCTTTCTTTCTTTCTTTCTTTCTTTCTTTCTTTCTTCCTTCCTTCCTTCCTTCCTTCTTTCCTGCTATCTTTCTGTCTTTTTCTTTCCTCTGTGCTTAGGGGTCATTCCAGGCAGTGCTCAGAGGACCAATCATGTGGTGGAGTCCAGGCGTCCCACTTGCAAAACATGCACTCAGTCTTGGGACTCTCTCTCTCTCTCTCTCTCCAGCCTAAACCCAAGAGAGAAGGATAGAGTAGGTGGTTGATCAGAAGACAAACCCAGATGCACATTAAATAACTTTTTTTTTTTTGCTTTTTGGGTCACACCCGGCGATGCACAGGGGTTGCTCCTGGCTCATGCACTCAGGAATCACTCCTTGGCTTGGGGGACCATACGGGATGCTGGGAATCGAACCCGGGTCGGCCGCGTGCAAGGCAAACGCCCGACCTGCTGTGCTATCACTCCAGCCCCTAAATAACGAACTTTCAGGTATCACCTCATAGGTGAGGAACTGGCAAACTCTAACTGGTGGGTCAAATTTAACATGGCTTTATAAGACTCCGAGGGCAACAAACATGTATTTTTTGCTTGTTTTTGGTTTTGGGCCACATCTAGGGGTGCTCAGGGCTTATTGCTTGTTCTGTGCCCAGGGATCATTCCCAGCAGGGCTCAGACCATGTGGGGGCTAAGGATCAAACACTGGGTTGGTACATGGAAGGCAAGTACCCCATCAGCTGTACTATCTCTCTGGCTTCAACAAACTAAAGAGATGTTTCAAAGCATGGCACAGGGGATAACAGGCAAAAATTTGCACCAGATTAATCTAGGGGCTGGAGCAATAACACAGCGGGTAGAGCGTTGGCCTTGCACGCAGCCGACCAGTGTTCGATTCCTCTGTTGCTCTTGGAGAGCCTGGCAAGCTACCGAGAGTATCCCGCCCGCACCGCAGAGCCTGGCAAACTCCCCATGGCGTATTCCATATGCCAAAAACAGTAACAACAATTCTCACAATGGAGATGTTACTGGTGCCCGCTCGAGCAAATCGATGAACAATGGGAGGACAGTGACAGTGTGACAGTGACTGAAAAAGTTCAGGGCAACTGGCAACCAATCGTTTTCTTTTACTATGTTCTCGATCTTTTCTTCTTCTTAGTGTGTTTCTGTGTGTTTGGATGAGGGGTGGTGTGTGTGTGGGGGGGCATGGGGGGGTTGGTGGGGTGAGGGAGGTTCAGCCAACCCAGAGGTGCTCAGGGGTTATTCTTGGCTCTGGGCTTAAGAGTGAGCCCTAGCTCAGATAGAGAAGGGAGCACCAAATAAAGGGTGTTTGGAGGATCCTCCCAGGATGGGAGATGCATGTTGAAAGTAGACTATGGACCGAACATGACTGCCACTCAGTGCCTCTTTTGCAGACCACAGTACCCAAAAGGAGAGAGAGAACAAAAGGGAATGCCCTGCCACAGAGGCAGGGTGGGATTGGGGGAAGGGGGGTGGGAGGGATACTGGGATCCGTGGTGGTGGGAAATGGGCATTGGTGGAGGGATGGATATTTGATCATTGTATAATCGAAACCCAAGTCTACAACTGTACCTCATGGTGTTTCACTAATAAAAATAAAAAAAATAAAAAAGAGTGAGCCCTGACCGTCCTTGGGGTCCTTAAATGGTGCTGGGGACTTGAACTGGGGAGTTAGCACTGTACTACCCCCCAGCTCTGTTCTCAGTCTTTCCAAGAGCACGAGTCCATGCCAACCTCTTTGATCATGAAGGCCACTGAGGCACAGATTCTGCCCACCTTCTTCCAATACCTCTGGAAACACTGGTTGCATCCTTCTCTGGGTAGACATGAAATAAAAGAGATAAAAAAGGGCCAGAGCGATAGCACAGCGGGTAGGGCGTTTGCCTTGCATGCAGCCGACCTAGGTTCAATCCCCGGCATCCCATATGGTCCCCCAAGCACCTCTGGGAGTGATTCCTGAGTACAGAGCCAGGAATAACCCCTGAATATTGCTGGGTGTGACCCAAAAAGCAAAAATAAATAAATAAATAAATAAATAAAATATATAACGCCCTAAGTAAGCTTCTGGCAGGCAGAAAGCGGTAAGACAAGTTGCTATAGCCCGAGGCAGCGTGGGGCCCCACCAGGAGCATGGCCAGGCAGCCTAATGGCCTTGCTCTTCCACCTAGAGTCATCTGAGGCGAGCTGTTCCTCTGGGGGAGTCGCTGTGTCCTCACCTAGAAACCAGGCCCATCACAGTGCCCACCTCAAGGCAGGTGGGCTTCAGTCAAAGGTGTCACATGCCTAATAAACTTGGACCTAGGCGGGGGCATCACGAGCCAGGCCAGGCCTCCCGGGCAGTGGTGCTTACTTGATGGGGTAGGTCTCATCTCTGCGCCTCCGGGTTTCGTGAGGAGGGAGAATCTCCCAGCCGAAGGTCAAACTCCAGTCAAAGTTCCCACGGCTGTGGACTTTGCCCTTCTGGACAGGCCAAGAGAACTGGAACGTGTTAAGGTTGATGGTGACGATGTCCGGGCTCACCACTGCCGTCTCGTCCTCAGCAATGCGAGCCAGGAGGGGTTCCAGCCAGCCATGAAAGCATTCACCTGCGGGAGGCCACAGTCAGGGTCGTCCCCAGCCCTGCCCGAGGCCGCTCAGGGGCGACCCAGGGGACCCAGGAACCCACTACCCACTCCCTGGTCTGAGGCAGAGTGAGATCTTTGGGACACCCCACCCCCAACACACAGCTCCCTGTCTCCCGCCGAGAGGAAAGGGGGCACAGTTTTGGAGGGGAGGATGGAGGTCTCCAGGGTAACAAAGTCAACTCAGGTGACCCAGTGCACAGGGAGGTCCCAGGTTGGAGTCTTTGGAGCCCAGGGCATCTGCTGTCCCAGCCCTTGCCACCAAGTGTGGGTTTGAGAAGTGGGCACAGCGCCAGAGGTCCGGCAGTCCCAGTCTCAGCGCTGTGTGGCCAGCCCCTTCATTGGGACCCTGTGAGATGCTCCATGAACTGCACTTCTGACTTCACCTGGCCCTCTGGGTAATTCTGTTAGGTGAGTGGGGTGGAGTGCCTCAACCTCGTCTCGCAAACAGGAAACTGGGGTCCTTTGATGGGTAGGGTGGGGTGCCTCACCCCCATTTCGCAAACAGGAAACTGGAGTCCAGGAAGTGACAGCCAGACCACAAAGCCAGGGTCCCCAACTGACCCCAGACCACAAAGGCAGGGCCTCCAACTCACCCCAGACCACAAAGCCAGGGGCCCCAACTGACCCCAAACCATGTAAGCCAGGGACCCCAAATGATCCCAGACCACAAAGCCAGGGGCCCCAATCCCAGATTTATCCTAGTGACTTGCGGGTACATGGTTTATCTTGACAGCGGGGAGGAGGGTATTCTGGGGGAAACCATTCTAACCCCGAGTGGCCTTGTAGGAAAGCTCCATAAATTAGTTCCCAGGACTCACAGGAGGTCTCTCTGATGTGGGGCCTCTGCGGACTAGGATGAGGAAGGGGAGGGCGAGGCGGGAGCGGGTGCCCGCGACAGCTTACTCACAGTGGGCGTCCAGGAAGGTGAGCACCTCGGCCTGCGCCGCGCTGGCCCCCAGCAGCCGGGCGGTGATCAAGCCCTTCCGTTCTTTCTGCCGAAGCACGCGAACCACCTTCAGCGGCTTCACGTACTGCTCCAGTGGCTCCTTTAGGTACCCTGGAAGGAGCAGGTCATTGTGGCCAGCTCAGCACTTGGTGGCAAAGCTAAGGCTGGCCCCAGAGCCAAGCCCAGTTGTAGGGGATGGGCGGCGAGGAATGCAGCAGGGGTGAGCCTTGCCTCGGGTTCACTGTGCCGCTGATTTTGGATTCATTGCTGGTCATTTTGCCTCCAGAATCCTTTCATTGTTAATCGCGCGGCCGTGCATCATATGGTTCTCATAACCAGCTATAGAAAACAAATAATTTTACAAGGCCTTTTTAGCAGTTCTGATTGTTGGGTGGAAAGTCTAAGCAATAATGGTGATGCATTTTTTGTCGAAATAATGAATGTAATCAAAGTAGAGAGAGAGAGTTAAGTAGAAATCATCTGCCTCACAGGCATTGGGAGGGGTGGGAGGGGGGTTTATTGGGGTTCTTGGTGGTGAAAAATGAGTACTGGTGAAGGGAAATGTGTTTGATGATTGCATGACTGAAACTGAAGCCTGAAAGCTTTGCAACTTTTCCCACAGTGATTCAATAAATAAATATAACAACAACAACAAAGAATCCTTTCATTGTTGTGTTCCCTCCTTCAACTGCAGCCCCCTTGAGCTCGTGGCCCCCAGTCTAAGGAGCTCGATGGAACACCGACAAAGGCTCATTATTGCTGGCGGGACCAGCGGCAAGAAGTCTTCCTCATCCTTCCTCATCCTCTGCAGAGGAACTTCTTCAAGAAGCTGAAAAGTTGCCAAGTGGATTTTTAATGAAATTAAGAAACATGTACCAGGTGCTGCCTACCGGGAAGCAGGAGATTGCCAGGTGGGTGACAGGGGTTTTGCCATCAGTGGGACAGAGTGGCCATGGACGTAGACGGAGGCCATTGGAGGGAGTTCTGTAGGCAGGGTTTCTTCTGAGACTGCCACTTCCCTTCTGGTTTTGCTTTTGGACCACGCCAGGTGGTGCTCAGAGGTTACGCCTGGCTCTGCACTCAGGAATTACTCCTGGTGGTGCTCAGGGACATGGGATGCCGGGTCGCTGTGTGTAGGGCGAGTGCCCTACCCTCTGTACTACTGCTGCGGCCCAGGGCTGCTAGCTCCCAAGTGCAAGCATACTTCATGACTTGGTTACTCCTTTAGAACCTCAGTGCATTCACAACGGCTTTGTTTTGAGGCAATCTACCTGGAAACGTATTTCAAACCTTATTAATGTTTTATTAAGTGGCATTTTGATTGGTCTGTTCTACTATTCTGTTCCCAGCTGCGGAGACTGGAGTTGGCGAGTAGTTTTGCTGCATCTGTGCTCACACGCACATATCAACTTACACATGCACACATGGACTCATGTAGCCTCACACAGAGTCACATGTTCTTTTATTAAAAGATCAAGCAGGAACCCCCTCCCCCAATACTTATAAGCCAGCATCAGCCTCTGATGGCCGCTTCAGCTGAACTCGCTGAGCAAACACCTGCTGTCACACTATCCAGGTGTCAGACACTGAGCCAGGGAGGTGCCTTGCCTGCCCAGTCCTCAAGTCACTCTTGGCCTCCTAATTCAATGGACAGCCCCATGCCAGCCTCAACAGGAAGGAGAGGCCCAACTGACAGCCTCACCTGGGCAGTGTGGCTGCTGTTTCCCCTGTTTTCTCTTTAGATGATTTTTAGACTGTTTTCTCAAGGAGCTCCTGGTGGTGAAGATACCCCCCACCCCACCCCGAGGAAATCCTGAAGAAATATAGGCAGTGGATTTTGGGTTGAGACTGCAAAGTGCCAAACCGTGAACCTCAGAACTCTACAAAGCCCTTCTCCCTCACTTCAGGTGACTGGACCTGAAGATTTTTTTGCAGGGGAAGAGGGGCAGGTGTGACATCTGGTGGTGCTCAGGGGTTATTCCTGGTTCTGTAATCAGGAATCACTCCTGGCGGTGCTCAGAGGACCATATGGGGTGCTGGGTATTGAACCCTGGTCGGCTGCATGCAAGGCAAACACCCTGCCCACTGAACTATTGATCTAGCACCTGAACCTAAAGATTCTAAGGCAGCTTCATTCTTTAAGCCTGGAGTTTCCAGGACTCTGTGATCCCTGTACACAGTTCCCGAGGTCATGGTCAAACACAACACTAATGCTTGAGGGCTCCCTGGCCTCGCCCTTCACTTGGAGGCCTCATAGAACCACGCATCTTTGAAGCCTGAGATGAGACTCCAGGGTTCCATCCAGTCTGTCCCACCTCCCAGACTCAGTACATGGTGTTGATCTCTTTTGGGACCAAACTCAGCAGTGCTCAGGGGTTTCTCCTGGCTTTGCTCTCAGAAATTACTCCTGGTGCTGCTCAGGGGACCATAGGGGATGACGGGGATCAAACCCGGGCAAGGCAAGCGCCCTACCTACTGGACCACCCCTCTGGCCCAGTATGAATGTGTTTAATGCGATCACCTGGAACACTTTAAAATGGTGAAGATGGACCCTCACGCCACCAGCCTCCCAGTGTCTCTGCTTTATGTTTGGTGACCCTGTAACAGCTTCAGTGGCAGATCTGGTTCCAGACTCACTTTGGGCCTGGGTTGTTCAGTGTCTTCAGAGGTGAAGTGCAGGCTGGTTCTAAGCACAGGCTGAAAACTACAGACACGAGCCAGGGAAGCTGGTGTGCTCAATGCTGGTATTTTCATTGACTTACACCATGCTGAGGGAATGGCTGTCACATGATCTTACATAATCCCCCTGGCCACACTGCAGGGGTCAAGCGTGGGGACAATGCCTATGGCCACTAGGCCATTGAACCATGTGCTATATTTTCTTCTTTAGATTCTTAGAAACATACTAAAGTTGGGCTGGAGCAATAGCACAACAGGTAGGGCATTTGCCTTGCATGCGGCCAACACGGCCGACCCGAGTTCGATTCCTCTGCCCCTCTCGGAGAGCCCGGCAAGGTACTGAGAGTATCTCGCCCGCATGGCAAAGCCTGGCAAGCTACCCATGATGTATTCGATATGCCAAAGACAGTAACAATTGTCACAATGGAGACGTTACTGGGCCCACTCAGGCAAATGGATGAACAACAGGAGGACAGTGACAGATACTAAAGTTACTAATATCCCATTTTTCAAATGAAGCAACAGCCTCGGTGGCTCAAGTGCCCCACAAGTGCTCTTGTGCAAGGAACCCTGTGAACAACAGTGCAGTGACCTCAGGAATGTCACTGATCTTTTGACTGAATATCCGGGTAAGTGACAAAAAACATGTAAACATTTGCTAGTTCAGGAACAAAAGCCCATATAGAAATGTTAAGAATATTATAAGCTCTTTATAGTATTTAGTTGCATTGAAAATTGGAAGTTACCTGAATTTAGGCATAAAGGGGGCACCTGTGGGCATGTTAGGAGTTTGTTCCTGTCCAAACAACTACAGTGAACTCATTTCCCATTAGACAAATACAGGTACCTAATGTTCAAACTAAAATAAAATGGTGGAGATGATAAATTTTCGTTGTTATTCCCACCTGGCAGTGCTCAGGGGACCGTATATGGTGCCAGGGATTGAACAGGGGAAGGATGTGTGCAAGGAAAATGCCCTAATCCCTGCACGATCTCTCAGACCCCCATGGGACATACTTTAAATTATTTACTTTCTGCCTTTCCTACTGAAAAGGTAAGACCCAGGTACCAAGAGTGACTTAGTGGCAAAAATCCCTGCCTTGTTAACGTAAGGCCATGGTGACATCCTCATGTCTGGAGCAGGGCATGGTCCCTGGCAGCAGATCTGTTATTTGGGACTTCTGCTGACACACAGAACGTTTAATATCTTGTGAGTACTGCACTGAAAAAGAAAGTGTCTGGGCCAGAGAGATAGCATGCCGAGCATGTGGTGTGGTCCTAAGGCACTGCCAGGTGTGGACCCTTTGGCCAAAAAATTTTTTTTCCTTGTTTTGGGGCCACACCCGGTGGTATTCAGGGCTTACTCTTGGCTCTGTGCTCAAGGGTCACTCGTGGCGAGGCTCAAGGGAACAGATGTAGTTCTCAGGAGAAAACCTGGGTAGGCTGCATGCAATGCAAGGTCTTTCCCTTATACTATCTCTCCAGTCCTTAAAAATAATTTTTTAAAGAGGGGGCTGATTTGATATTACAGTAGGTAGGGAGTTTGCCTTGCACAAGGCTGACCTGGGTTTGATTCTCAGCAGCCCATATTGTGACCCAAGCATCGCCAGAAGTAATTCCTGAATACAGACAGAGCCAGGAATAACTCCTGAGCATTGCTGGGTGTGGTTCCTCCCAAAAAAACAACAAAAACCAAGCAAAAAAATTTTAAGAGGTGTTAGCACTGCACCCAGAGTTCCCAGATCCTCTGACGAGCATGTGTGAGAGCACCAAAGAGAAGAGGGCAGCTCAGTGAGGTGGTGTGTGGATTCTGGCCCTCACAGCCATAGCACCAACACAAAGGAAGCCGGGTGTGTGTGTGGGGGGGGCTGGGGGGGGGCTGAGGCACTTCTGGTTGTTTTGGTACCACATCTGGAAGTGCTGATGGTTACTCTTAGCTGGTGCTTAGGGGTCGCTCCTGGCATTACTTGGGGGATTACATAGGGTGTTCAGAATAATCCCAAGACCTTCTGCATGCTCTCTTGCCCTTTGAATTATCTTCCTGGCCCTGGGGAAGGGAAATTTTAAAAAAAGAAAAGAAAGAGTGGCCAGTGGTATTCTACATATAGGAGACCTGGGTTCACACACACACACACACACACACACACACACACACACCAGAGATAATACAGGAGTTAAGTCCTTTGCCCTACATGCTGCTGACCCCATTCAAATCCCTCACAGGGGTGGTCCCCGAGCACCCCTGGGATCACTCCTGGAACACAGAGCCAGGAATAGCCCCTGAGCAATGCTGAGTGTGGGCCCCAAACCCAAAAACAAACCAACAAAAAAACCATAAAAACTATGGCTGTTATCCAAATATGAGTGAATAAATTCAATATTAGAGGGTGTTACACTTCTTCCTCCTTTCATCTTTCCAAATGGATCAGTTATGAAAACATGCCCTTTTGCAGTTAGATTCAGCGCTGAATAGAACGTAGATGGGCATGAAAACAGAACAAAAACAAACCAGAAAATATTAGCGGAGTCCTTCTGACAATGTGACAATGAAGCCTTTTCTGGTTTTCTTTGTTTAATTTTTTGAGAATTTAAGGAAGAGGAGGGGCAATCCATGAGAGGGGCAAATTAAGACAGGGTCAGGATTCCTCATTTATCTCATGAGTGCAGGCCAGGGGCCCAATAGTGACCAGGGCAGGCAGCAAGGTCTGTTGCTATGTTTGGTGTGTGTGTGTGTGTGTGTGTGTGTGTGTGTGTGTGTGTGTGTGTGTGTGGCCCCACTCAGCAATGTTCAGGGCTTACTCTGTGCTCAAGGATCACTCCTGGCAGGATCTGTGAAACCATATGTGGGTTCCAGGTATGGAATGAATTGGCTGCATGCAAGGCAAGTGCCTTATTCACTGTACTAGTGCTCCAGTCCCAACCTCCTGAATTCTTTTTTTCTTTTTTTACTCCTGAATTCTTAGGGCTGGAGCGATAGCACAGTGGTAGGGCGTTTGCCTTGCACGCAGCCAACATGGCCGAACCGAGTTCGATTCCTCGGCCCCTCTCGGAGAGCCCGGCAAGCTACCGAGACGGCAAGCCCCTCTTGGAGAGCCCGGCAAGCTTGCCCGCACGGCAGAGCCTGGCAAGCTCCCCATGACATATTCGATATGCCAGACACATTAATAACAAAGTCTCCAATGGAGACATTACTGGGCCCGCTCGAGCAAATCGACGATCAACGGGAGGGCCTTTACCTTTACTTTACTTTTACTCCTGAATTCTTAAGAGGTACCAGTAATGCAAATCAGAAATTGTCCAAAACTCTTGATTTTCGATGAATTACAACTTCCAGTGATGGTATTCCAACAGATAAATCTGCTTTACCACCTCTATGCTCGATCCCCGGCGTCTCATATAGTCCCCCAAGCCCTGATAGGTTCCTGAGCATGGGGCCAGGAATAAAGCCTGAGCACTTCTGGGTGTGGCCCAACCCCTCCCCACCAATAAAAGAATTTAGGAGGTCACAGGCTGAAAAAGGTTGTACAGTGGGTAAGACTCTTATTTTGCATATGGCTGATTGGGTTCAATCCGCAGCATCCCACGTGGTCCCCACACCACACCAGGTGTGATCTCTGAGCACAGAGCCAGGAGTAAGCCCTGTGCATTGCCAGGTATGGCCCCCCCACCCCAAGACAACAGAAAAATAATTTAACAGGCTTGAGTGTATGCTTTGCATGCAGGAGGCCCAGGCTTGATTGACTTCGCCACAGAGAGATGAAGTCTGACCGGGTATTTTTTTTTTGTTATTTCTATTTGTTCTGGGGCTGGAGTGATAGCACAGTGGGTAAGGCGTTTGCCTTGCACTCAGCCGACTTGGCCAACCTGGGTTCAATCCTCCGCCCCTCTCAGAGAGCCCAGCAAGCTACCGAGAGTATCTCGCCCGCACGGCAAAGCCTGGCAAGCTACCCGTGATGTATTCGATATGCCAAACACAGTAACAACAAGTCTCACAACGGAGACGTTACTGGGCCCGCTCGAGCATAAGGATGAACTACGGGAGGGCAGTGCTATTTGTTCTGGGGCCATCTCTGCTGATTCTTAGGGGCTATTTGTGGTTTAGTACTTAGGGATCACTCCCAGCAGAGGTGGGAGACCAGTAGTGCCCGGGACTGAACCGGGATCCAGCATGTCAAACGTGCACTCAGCCTGTGAGCCTCTCTCCAGGGGCCATGCCTGGTTATAGACTTGGATGTGGAGGAGAAAAAGCTCCCCAGCCTGACCCTGGGCCTCGTGATACTCCCAGTACCAAGTAGCCAAGGACTGAAGGTCACAGAGCATCTGTCTGGCTCCTGGACAGGAGGACAGAGCATGGATACTGTACTACAGTGAGGCCCTTTGTGTGTGTGATAAGAGCTGGTTAATCTGATCAAAGTGAGTGTCAGACTTCATCCTGTCCTGCCTAGATTCCCAACCATATTGTGAAGATTTTTGGTCTTTCTCCGCTGAACTATGTGTGGCTGAAAGTTCATCAAAAAGCCCCAAGACTTCAGGTAGGCTGATTTATCCCGAGGATCACAAATCCCCTGGGTTAGATGCACAAAGGTAATGGTCATCGCTTGGACCATCTTTTCAAAGGAGGCCCAAACCCCGAGAAATGAGGAGGACGCACTTCGGAGACTTTTCTTTGTGGCTTTGGTTTGAGGGTCATGCCGGGCTGATTCTTGGCTCTGTGCTCACTCCTAGCAGTTCTCCAGAGACCTTATATGGTGTCAGGGATCAAACCCAGGGCGGCCGTATGTCACCTGCTGTCCTACCTTTCCAGTCCCCTGTCCAGGTTTTTTTAATGAGGTGAGACTCTGGGACACTGGCCATGGTCTTCAGAAAAAGTGTCTGGGGCATCCAGAGACAAAATCCTGTGTTTCAGGGCTACAAAGGATGAGGGCACGTCCCTGAGCCACAGAGGCTACCCGTGCTGGCCCGGGTGACCGTTCAGAATGGCCATGGGCTGCGTGTACCTTAGGGACTATATCCCACTTCTGGGGGACAATTTGAAACAGCTAGAATTTCTTCCATGTGTTCCTCAAGGGAAGAAACTTTGAAGGGACAGACAGCGTAGGGTTGGGGGCCAAGGGTCCAAGGGAGTCAGCGTGAGGGGGGGCAGCTGACACACTGGCCAACCGTTGCCAGGACCAGCCAGAGTCACTGGCATTCCTACAGGGCACTTCTCACCTACAAGCCTTCCATCACGTTCACTTGCTTTTCCTGAGCAAACATACTTGTGGTACGCCAGCATCAGAATCAACATCTTTCTGTTTGTTTTGACTCAGGAGTCACAGCAGAAGATGCACATGGGGTTATCTCTCGCTTGGTATCTAGGGGACCATCCTACCCTGCTGGGGGTCAAACTGCACCTCCCTGTCCCTGCACCCCCAACGCAGGGTTCTAGTCCTCTTAACCGTTTCCTCAGTCCTCATTTTATCACCCTTTTAGTGTCATTTTCTACAGCAAAGCAGCGTTTTAGCCACACCCAAGCTCTCTCTGGGCAGCTGGAGAGATAGGACAGCAGGTAGGGTGCTGGCCTTGCATGTGGCTGACCTGGGTATGATCCCCGGGGTCCCATATGGCCCTCTAAGCCCTGCCAGGAGTGATCCCTGAGTGCAGGGCCAGGAGAAAGCCCTGAGCACTGCTGGGTGTGGCCTGAAAGCCACAAAACAAAACAAGAGAAGACGCTCTCTATTCTTCACTAACACACCTATCCTACGTCTGTTTCATCCTCTCTCCTCCAGGCTGGCCACACCGCTGCCCCCATATCCCTCTCCTGGGATACCTGTCCGGCTCTAAGGGGATGTCAGCTGTGCAGTGCCCCAGACTCAGCACGCAGATGGACACATGTCCTCTGGCAGGGCAGGCCACTCCACCCTCAGTACTTTGTTCTCCTCCAAAGAACAGAGCTAAGCAGATGCTTCTGAGAAGAACTTGCCCAATGCCAAGTTCTCTGCTGAGCTCCAGCGAGCCCTTTGGCCACCCGTCTGGCCACTGGCCAGCCACAAGAGGGAGTCCACTATCTTGGAAATAGCTTGAGAGAGGTGGAGGGCCTGGTCCAAGGCCATGGGGATCCGGAGAGTCTGAGCTGGGGGGGCCTGAACCCTGGGTGGGTGCTGGACACCGAAGTCCACTCCACGTTTTTTTGTGTCTGACTCAGCTTCTGGCCTGGCCTGTGAGGGTCAGTCTTTCCCACAGAAACTCTGTGGTATTTGTCCTCTGTCAGGGCTAGACACAGAGCACTCAGGCAATTCTCAGGTGAGACTGGTCTGAAGGGTGGGAGGCTGGGCGAGCAGCTCACTAACATAACCAACCACAGCCATGAAGACCTTTGCAGGTGGAACAGCTAGAGCGAAAGGGGGAGGGGGCAACGGGAAGCCCACCCCCAGCTCCGGCCCGGGATTCTCAACTCGTGTTTGTTGGGGGCCACACCTGGCTGCTCAGGGCTTACTCCTGGCTCTGTGCTTAGGCCTCACTCCTGGTGGGGGTCAGGGACCATCTGGGATGCCGGGGACTGATCCCAGCTCAGTTCTGTGCCAGGCAAATGCCCTCCCCACTGGACTCTCCAGCCCCATCTTCTCAGCATTTCTGACTTGGGACCGGGATGGGCAACTCCTTTAAGAGTCCTAGTAGCGGGGCTGGAGCGATGATAGCACAGCGGGTAGGGCGTTTGCCTTGCACGCGGCCGACCTGGGTTCAAGACCTGGGTTCAATTCCCAGCATCCCATATGGTCCCCTGAGCATCACCAGGGGTAATTCCTGAGTGCAGAGCCAGGAGTAACCCCTGTGCATCGCCGTACCAAGTGATAAGAGCTGGTTAATCTGATCAAAGTGAGTGTCAGACTTCATCCTGCTCTGCCTAGATTCCAAACCATATTGTGAAGATTTTTGGTCTTTCTCCACTGAACTACGTGTGAAAAAAGATAATTAATTAAAAAAAAGGGGGGGGGGCTGGAGCAATAGCACGGCGGGTAGAGCATTTGCCTTGCATGTGGCCGATCTAGGTTCAATTCCCAGCATCCCATATGGTCTCCCGAGCACTGAGAGGAGTAATTCCTGAGTGTATGAGCCAGGAGTAAACCCTGTGCATCACCGGGTGTGACCCAAAAAGCTAAAAAAAAAAAAAAATAATAAAAAAAAAAGAGTCCTAGTAGCTGCCACGTTCATGGTGAAATGTCCATTCCAGACAGTAGAAATTCAGTCTCGGGGCCCGGGGCGCTGCCTTCCTGCTCACACCCTGCTCCCCCTGAGCTGCAGGGTGACCTCTGGGGGTGCTCCTGCCTGCCCTGTCCCCTTCGTAGGGCCCCTCCCACTCACCCTCGGTGCTGGCGTCGTCCACCAGGATGATCTCCCGCAGCAGGAGGGCCGGGGAGGTGTGCAACACGCTGTACACGGTTCGCAGCAGCGTGGACCAGGCCTCGTTGTGGAACACGATGATGACACTGGTGGTGGGCAGCGGGGGGCAGCGGCGGAACTTCTGTTTGACACATCTACGGGGATGAAAGGAGAGAGTCAGCCTGGAGGGCCCTGGCATTCCGGGGGTGGAGCAGCCTCTGTCCTCGGATTCCCATCACCACCCTCCGCTCCTCGGAGTCCTTCTCCGTCGCAAATAAATGCTCTCTGCTCCCCAAGCACCCCACGTCTGCAGCTGACTCGGCCACTCAGGCCCGTTCCCAGAGCTGCCTCCCGTCGGTGCCCTGGCCCCTCACTGGCCTTATCACAAGGAGTGCCCGGCAGCAACACACAAGGAGCAGGATTCAGGGCAGAGGCCCCCGAGGGGACCGTGATGAATGTGACGTCAGAGAAGAGTCTGGGACCAGCTCCTAGGCGGAGGACAGCGCTCCCTCACAGCTCTCTCATCTCCGTGGCAGTTCCCTGTGACCCAACGTCTGCTCTGATCTTTTTCTCTGTTCTCCTTTTTCTCTGTTGCCCGCCCTGGAGACCCTGTGTCGGGTGGGAGTGGGGCTCTGAATCCTGGATCTCGAGGAATCACGTGCCCCAAACACCCTCACCCCTTCCTCGCCCGCTTCTGCCAGCCGGAGATTCCCCATGGAGCCTGGGGGTGGGGGGGAGACTCGAGCCCCTCACTGTGGCCGCTGTGTCCAGGGCCTGCTCCTGCCCAAGGGCACAGGAACTCTGTCTCCAGGATCCAGGGGGGTGGAGACTGCCGCCACGGCGGGTCTGACTCCTGAGTTGGAAAGGACAAGGCCTAAGCGAGACAGTCATAAAGGCCTTAGCCAGGGAATAGCAAGAACACGCCCACATCGAGGACACGGTTGCAGGTCAGAGATCTAAGTGCTGGGCCGCTGGCCGGGGCTCAAACATAGGGGTAGCTTTGAATACAACTTGGAATGAATGCACAGCCCTGGGCCACCACGAAGGGAACCCTGAGCCTTTGTGGGGACCCCCCTGACCACCTGGCCCACTGGAGTAAAGTTCCTTTCATGAGCTCAGCATTCAGGTCCCATGGCCCCCATGGGGTAAGACCACCTACTCTGCAGCCTGTAGCCCCCCTCACGTGTCCCTATACCAAGCTGTCCAGGCCATGAGTCTCCCTCCTGTGTCTCGAGTCACCTTCAGCCCTTGATGTCACTATCAGCTTAGCCCGACCAGGAGACCCGTGTTTGGTGGATGGGGAGGGGACCAGACCCAGTGGTGCTCGGGGCTTACTCTTGGCAGTGCTGGGGAGTGAACTGGGATTGCCAGGCAAGTGCCTTATTTTCTGCAGTATCTCTCTGGTCCATGACCAGGAGACTTTGAACCCCAGTTCTGGGAGAAGGGCAGAGGGTCAGGAAAGAGCGGGCTTGGTGGAAATGCCGACCCTTATTCTATTTCATTAACTCATTGATTTTTTCCCCATTGTTTACAGCTCTGGGAATCAAACTCAAAGCCTCACGCATGCAGATGGTCAGTCTCCCCCTCAGTCCTTGCCTCACTGTGTGTCCCCAAAACACCCCAAAAGGGGTCAAAGAGATAGTGCAGCAGCAGGTAGGGCATTTGCCTCGAATGTGACTACCCAGGGTTCGATCCCCAGGACCACATATGATCCTCTGAGCTGGCCAGGAGTGCTCCCTGAGTGCAGAGGCAGGAGTTAGCCTTCAGCACTGCCGAGGGTGGCCCCAAACCAGTCAAATAAATAAATAAATAAATAAATAACCCCCTTTCTGAGCTGTTGCTGGCATGTGGCCGAGACTGGCTGCACAGTCCCCCAGGCGGGCTCGGCCGGTGCTACTCACTCCGGGGGTCGTGTGTCTGGCCCCAGGGCCCGGTGCAAGGAGATGCGGTCACTGGCGAAGGCATTGAAGCAGTGTTTCTTATAGCCCTTTTCCTTCTCCTGGGTCTCCTGGGGGGTCCACGTGGCCTTGTGAAACGCTTTCCCGTCTGCCCCCGGGCTGTCAGGGTCCTGGGGTGGCCGTTCCAACAGGGGTTTCAGATCTTCCGGGCTGTAGAATCCAGGCACACAGGAGTGGTTCATGGAGACGAGCAGGGCCTGGGGCTCGGGCGCCCTGATCTGGAGTTTGGGCTTCCCGTCCCGCAGGTTGTTCACAGCGCCCTGCACGAGGCCCAGGAGCTGATTCTTCTGGTTGACTAAGGAATTCAGCCAGGGCTTCTTCGGGGCCTGCTCCTTGCTGCTCAAGTCCCTCTGCAGGACGAAGATGAAGAGCACAAAGGCACAGCCCACCAGGGCCAGGCGGAGGGGCATGTGGCGTCTGCCCAGCAGCCGCATCCTCTGGAACCAGCGGGCACTGGGCCCAGCCCTCGGAGCTGCGGCGGCCACACAGAAGCCTGAGAAGGGAGCAGAGAAATGAACTGGACCACCGGGCAGAGGTGTGGTGAGTTACACGTGGCGGCTGTGTCTAGGCTGTTCCCAACTGCACCAGCCCCTGCCTCAGTCCTTCACAGTGCCTGCCCCTGAGTGTCCTCTTCCACACAGCCACCACACTCGAAACTAACTCCCTCCCTCCCTCCCTCCCTCCCTCCCTCCCTCCCTCCCTCCCTCCCTCCCTCCCTCGCTCCCTCCCTCGCTCCCTCCCTTCCTTCCTCCCTCCCTCCCTTCCCCTTCCTTCCTTCCTTCCTTCCTTCCTTCCTTCCTTCCTTCCTTCCTTCCTTCCTTCATCCCTCCCTCCCTCCCTCCCTTCCCCCTTCCTTCCTCCCTCCATCCCTTCCTTCCCTCCTTCTCCTTCCTTCCTTCCTTCCTTCCTTCCTTCCTTCCTTCCTTCCTTCCTTCCTTCATCCCTCCATCCCTCCCTCCCTTTCCTCTTTTTTTATCTTTTCTTCTTCTTTTTTTTTTTTTATAAAGCAGGATGGTTTTTATTGAGTGAAACTTCCTTAGAAAGATGTGAGGGTAAAGTAACAAAATAGGAGACTAACACCCAAGAGTGGCCAGGATTAGTACCAGGAGTTTTGCTCCATGGCTTGGAGGCCAGCCACACATGCTAGGGGAAAAGGCAGCTCAGATAGAGAAGGGAGCACCAAATAAAGGGTGTTGGGAGGATCCTCCCAGGATGGAAGAAGCATGCTGAAAGTAGACTATAGACCAAACATGATCGCCACTCAATGCCTCTTTTGCAAACCACAACACCCAAAAGGAGAGAGAGAACAAAAGGGAATGCCCTGCCACAGAGGCAGGGTGGGATGGGGAGGATGGGGGGTGGGAGGGATCCTGGGATCCGTGGTGGTGGGAAATGGGCACTGGTGGAGGGGTGGGTATTTGATCATTGTATAATTGAAACCCAAGCACAAAAATTTGTAAGTCTACAACTGTACCTCATGGTGTCTCACTAATAAAAATTTTTAAAAAAAAAAGAAAAAGAAGAGAAAGATGTGAGGGGAGAGAAAGAGGAAAAAACCAAAAATATAGAGACAAGCAAGTGAGCTACATGTTCAAAGGACAACACAGGCTTGAAGAGCAAGTCTCCTAGAAGGGGTTATGCCTCGAGGTGCTCAGGGATTATACCCAGCTCTGTGCTGGCGAGGGTGCTGGGGGACCCTGTGGTGCTATTGACACTGGACTTCCCCCAAGCAAAGCCTGGACCCCTGATGAGCCTGATGTGCTCTCTGGCCCTGGACTCAGTGTTTTTCCTCTGCTGCAAGATTCTGACATTCCGCTGCTCTAAGACTCTGACGTTCCTGGGTTTAGAATAACTGGAACACTGACACTCTACACGAAGAGATTTCATTGAAATAATCATTTTGACATGATGGAGTCTAAAATGTACACTAGGGCCAGAGAACTGGTATAGTGGATAGAGTGCTTTCCTTGCAAGTGGCTGATTCAGGTTCGATCCTCATCATATGGTCACCTGAGCACTGACTGTCAGGAGTAATTCCTCAGCACAGAGCCAGGAGTAAACCCTAAGTACCGCCAGTGTGGATTCCCCATATAAAAATACGCACACACTAGGCACCTCCCCTCCCCTCTGTTCCTCTCCGACTCCTGAATGAACTCGTGCACATGAACCAGGAGACACATGCCAGGACGTTCTTAGCAGCATTGACTACAATGGCAAAAATCCCATTGTTTAACTGAAACCCAAGCACAAAAATTTGTAAGTCTACAACTGTACCTCATGGTGTTTCACGAATAAAAGAAAATCCAGGAACCATCCAAAGGTCCCTCTTTGGCAGGTGCATAAATAGAGTGTGAAATTTCCAAACCCTGGAGGACTTATCTGCTAGGTCAGGGATGGGCCAGGCAGCCTCAGCAGCACAGAGGCAAGGCGGAAAACAAACAAAAGTACAGCCCGTGCTTCAGAAAAGGCAGAGGAAAGGATTTCATTTGCAGAAAAATTCATCAATTTGCTCGAGCAGGCCCAGTAATGTCTCCATTGGAGACTTTGTTGTTACTGTGTCTGGCATATCGAATACGTCACGGGGAGCTTGCCAGGCTCTGCCGTGCGGGCGAGATACTCTCGGTAGCTTGCTGGGCTCTCCGAGAGGGGCGGAGGAATCGAACTCGGGTCGGCCGTGTTGGCTGCGTGCAAGGCAAACGCCCTACCGCTGTGCTATCGCTCCAGCCGAAAAATTAAAACATGTAAAATGAAATGATAGAATGCCTTTTTAATGCAGAGCTGAATGATTAATGACGATGTGGTGATGCTGTAAAGAAACCCAGGGAACAACGGAATCAGAGTTTCCTCAGAGGAAGGGAAAGGGACGGGGACAGAAGCACGTGGGACTTAAGAGAAAGTGATTTTCCTTTATTTTATTTTATTTAGTTTGGTTTTGTTTTTGGTCCTTTTTTTTTTCTTGTTGGGTCACACCCGGTGATGCACAGGGGTTACTCCTTCCTGGGTCATGCACTCAGGAATTACCCCTGGCGATGTTCAGGCGACCATATGGGATGCTGGGAATCGAACCTGGGTTGGCCGTGTGCAAGGCAAACGCCCTACCTGCTGTGCTATCGCTCCAGCCCCATGTTTTTTGGTCCTTAGATGCAGTGCCTACTTCTGGCTCAGGGAATCATATTGGTGCCAAGGATAGAACCCAGGTCAGCCAAATGCAAAGCAAGCGCCGTATTACTGTACTATCTCTGAGCTCCAGAATGCTCTTTCTTAAAGTGGGTGGCAGAGGCTAGTGACACTGCTACTCTTTATAGTCTATGCATTTTTTTGTTTTTATTTTGGGACCACACATGGCTTGATGCTCCAGGATCACTCCTGGTGGTGCTCAGGGGACAATTCAGTGCCAGGCAGCAAACCCAGAGATCATTCATGCAAACCCTGTGCTTCAACCCTTTGAGTCATCTCCTGGTTCCTAGCCTGTATTTCATAAACATTCTTCTGTATGTACTTATCTTAATTTAAAAAAAATTTTAAACTGGAAGGTTCTGGGACTAGAGAGATAAGAGAGTGGGTGGAGCTCTTGCTCTGCATGCAGCTGACCCAAGTTTGATCCCTGGCATCCATATGGGGCCCTAGCACTGCCAGGAGTGACCCCTGATGCAGAGCCAGGAGTAAGCCCTAAGCATCACCAGGTGTGGCTCAAAAAAAAAAGGAGGAGGAGGAGGAGGAGGAGGAGGTGGAAGAGAAGGAGGAAGAAGTAAAGGAAAAGAAGGAGGAGGAGGAGGAAAAGGATGGAGGAGGAAGAGGAGAAGGAGGAGGAGGAGAAGAAGAAGAAGAAGAAGAACAAGAACAAGAACAAGAACAAGAAGAACAAGAAGAGGAGGAGGAGGAGGAGGAGGAGAGAAGAGGAGAAGGAGGAGGAGGAGGAGAGAAGAGGAAGAAGAAGAGGAAGAGGAGAAGGAGGAAGAGGAGGAGGAGAAAAAAGGGAAGAAAAAAGAGAAATAAAGAAAGAAAGAGAAAGAGGAAGGAAGGAAGGAAGGAAGGAAGGAAGGGAGGGAGGGAGGGAGGGAGGGAGGGAGGGAGGGAGGGAGGGAGAGAGGAAGAAGACCATGTAAGATTCATTTTTTTTCTTTTTTGGGTGACACCCAGTGATGCTCAGGGGTTACTCCTGACTCTGCACTCAGGAGTTACTCCTGGTGGTGCTGGGGAGACCATATGGGATGCCGGGGATAGAACCCCGGTCAGCCGCGTGCAAGGCAAACGCCCTACCCGCCGTACTATCGCTCCGGCCCCAGACCACGTAAGATTCTTTTAGACAGAACTGTGCTTGATTACTCATGAAACATGGGCTCCCACTGCAAAGAGAAAAAATATTTGCAACATTTTTTTTGTGGAAGTTGATCAGTAGAACTGTGGACAGATCTCAGCCCTACCCTCCTAGTCATAATAGAACCTGCCTCCCAGATAAAGGATAGAGTTCAGTGAAGTAACTCCTGGAAAAAACTCAGCAGCTTCACACTGTTGTATTCCAGAAATGTAATTTTGTATAAGTAGCCATGAGCCTTACACAATCTCTCCTAGGCTCCATTTTCTCATTAATAAAGTGGTTACAGGACTGGGTGAGGATTTGATTTGGAGCTAATGTATATAAAACACTTTGCAGGACGCCTGGCAATGTAAGTCCTCAATAAATGGTATCAGTGATTTATGTGAGTAAAATTAATTCCCCACTCAGCTTCCCAGCAGTTCTCCTTAAGCACCTGGGCTTTGGCCAAAGCCACAGTCACTACCTTGTGGCATGGTTTTATTTGTTTGTTTGTTTTGGGGTCCCACCCAGTGGTATTACTGCCTCTACACTCATTGATCACTCTTGTTGGCCATGGGGGTCCATGTGGGGTGTCAGGGATCGAACCTGGGTTGACCGGCAGGCAAGTGTCCTCCTTGCTATACTATCACTGCAGCCTCACTTTATGGCAAGTCTTTCTTAAAAGTAACTTAAAGGTAACTCTAGCTCACCCATTGAATGCTGCTATTAAAAAATCAACTTTTCTGGGCTATAGTAGGGAGCTTACTACAGCGGGGCATGGGGGAGCGAAAAAGCTGGGAGACACCTGGACAACAGCAGCGGGAAGTGGACACTCTGGTGAGGGTGTGATGCTGGCATGTTTCACACATGAAACCCTACCATTAGCAGTATTGTAAACACTGCCTAAATATTCTAAAGCTACCTCAATTTTTTAATAAGAATTTAAAAAAAATTTTATTAGTGAGACACCATGAGGTACAGTTGTAGACTTACATATTTTGTGCTTGGGTTTCAGTTATACAATGATCAAATACCCATCCCTCCACCAGCGCCCATCCTCCACCACCACGGATCCCAGTATCCCTCCCACCCCCCATCCCCCCCATCCCACCCTGCCTATAAGAATTTTTTAAAGCA